GGCGCGGGGGGCACTCCTGTGGGGGTGGTGGGGCGGGGGGGGGGAGAGCTGGGGGGGGGGCGGGGGGGGGGGGGGAGCAGTCCTGGGTGGGTGCTGGTGCAGGGGGAGCAGTCCTGTTTGGGTGCTGGTGTGGATGATACAGTCCTGGATCCTAGCTTGAAGCAGCTGAGAGCCTGTATGGAACGGACTGGAGGCTTGGAACCGAGCGGGCAAACAGACAGGGTTAAAGAGGTTGTGGACAGAGGGGAAAGATTGGAAAGACAGTTCAGTTCCCAGGTTCTATTGTTGAAATGATCTTTATGACTCTTCTGCTGGCCAGCACCTTGCTTCAGTCATCTTTCTCCAGCTGCTTCCACTAGAAAGTGAGAGACAGAAGGTGACCAGTTCGCTTACAACAAGTCTGTCACATATTTGTTAAATGTCACAGCTTACAATGAGTTTTGCAGGAAAGATTAGCAGGTTTTCTTGAGGTTTACAGTGAGTTTTGATGATAGAGAACACAGAGAGACTGCTCCTGAAGTTGGGAATCACTGAACACTTCTGTGTATCTATAATTTGTTCTTAGCTCCAGTTACCTGAGAACCAATCTGTAGTGACTGGAATAAGCTGGATCTTGTTGAATCTGAGATTCCTGATTGGGGTTATTCACCTGGGCCATGCAGGAAAGCCCTGACTGACCAATATAACTGGGAGATTTAGAATTAGCGAGCTGGCTGGCCATAGTCATTGTACTGTGCACAAGCAAATAAAGGGTGACTTGGTGACAGGATACTCGCCTCAGCACAGTTTTTTCACAATCGTACAGTTGTTGGCAGGTGAAAAAAAGTCTGTCATTCATAACTGGTCACTAGTCCTCAGTAAAAGCTACATCAGTGCACCCTCTTGGCTCCAATTTGTCGCCAAAGTGTTCAAACAGTTAGTTGTCTCCATGATGCAATGGAGGGTTACTTTCTTTCAAAACTGTAGCCACTCTTTCAAATGCTGGCTTTTAATACCGCTCTTTCTCGGCTGAGTCCCCAATTTTTTTTAAAGAAAACACTAAATAAAAAGACATGGTCCTTAGAGATTTTACCATACCCGTTTATTTTCCTTTTGCTAATTAGGGTGTTGGAGAATTTTGGAATTTGATTATGAAATGAAGCTGCTGAGCCATGTGACCCAGTTGGTTGATTCCGAGTCGTGGTCTTTCAGTAAGATTCCTCTCACTATTTGTCTACAAGAACTGGAACTTCTTGAACCAAGGTGAGTGACACAGTGTAAATAAACCATTGGTGCTGATGACTGAAATGTGCTTTGCTACTTGCTTTAAGGTGATGTGCTTTTGTTTCTGGTAAGGTCATGAACTTTGGCACAGAATAAAGCTGTGCCTCACATCATGTTGTAAATTGCTTTGTATTTCACGCAGCATTCTAAAAAGCGCCTTGCCCTCCTGTTGGTCTTTCATTTTAATTAGACAGTGGCAAACTTGATAACACCTAATTGATTGTTGGTAAGTGTTCATATTTTGTGCATATCTTTGACGATGTACAGAGGGGAGTTTTGATGGTTTAAAAACAGATAAATCTAACTTCTCACAACATATCACTGTTCACAGGATAGTTTTCAGTCTTTTCCAAAGCCAGCAACACAAATTTCAGTTTTAATTGGTCATTAAAGTCATCTTTATTCTTGGAAGAGTTCACAGAATCATAGAATAGATACTGTACAGGGGGAGGCCAATTAACATACCTCAAAAACAATAAACCAGTCTGACTCCCTCCCCTTTCTGCATAGACTTGGAAATTTCCTTCAACTGCTTATCTAATTCTTGTTCAAAATCCACAGTTGACTCTGCTTTCACTATATTCCCAGGAAGTCCATTCCAGATCCTAATCACTCACTCTATAAAAAGGTTTACTTCATGTCTCCAAAGAATTTTTATGCCAATCTTCTTAAATCTATGTCCTCTGGTTCTTGAACCTTCAGCCACTGGGAACAGCTTCTTTCTGTTTTCACTGTCTAGATCCTCATTATGTAAAACATCTCTGCAAATTCTCTCACCCTTCTCTAACCCCAGCTTCTCCAATCCATCCACGTTACTGAATTCACCACAGAACAATTCCCTGTATAGAATTACAGGTTTGTTAAGGTGCAGAAGGAATCTATTCAGTGGATTATGTCAGCTCTGTAAGCATTTTGACTAAGAGTGAAACTCTTGCCTTTTCCCCATAACCCTGCATATTAATATTTTGTTTAAATAATCATCCAGACCTTATCTGAATGCCTCAATGGAACCTGTCTCTACCTCACTTTCAGGCAGTGCATTCCAAATGAACCACTTGTTGTGTTAGAAAGTTTTTTTCTTGCTTTGCATTTGTTTCTTTTGCAAAACACTTTTAAAACTGTGCCCTCTGGTTCTTGAACAAAAACAAAGTTGCTGGAAAAGCTCAGCAGGTCTGGCAGCATCTATGGAGGAGAAAACAGAGTTAACGTTTCGGGTCCGGTGACCCTTCCTCAGAACCTCTGGTTCTTGATCCTCTGGTTCTTGATCCTTTTATGAGTGGGATCAGTTTCTCTCTGTTTACTCTGCCCAGACCCCTCATGATTTTGAAAATTTCCGTCAGATTTCCTGCTTCTCTCCAAATCTCAACTTCACCAATCTATCCTAATAATTGAAGTTTGTCTAGATCCCTGGATCCATTCTCATAAATCTCTTCTGCAGTCTCTCGCTGATGATTCACGTCCATCCTAAAGTGTGGCACCAAGTACTGTACCCAGTACGTTAGTTGAGATTTAACAAGTATCCAGTGTATGTTCAACATCTCTTTCCTGCTCTTGTATTCTATGCCCCTGTTAATGAAGCTGAGAATACTGTATGCCTTTTTACCAGCTCTCTCTACCTCTAGTGACTTATGCACCAAAGCACCCAGGTCTCTCTGCTCCTGTACAACCTTTATAATAGTATCCTTTATTTTATACTGTCTCTCCGTGTTCTTTGTACCAAAGTGCATTTTATTTTGCACCCCTCTGCATTGAACTTCATCGGCAACCTAGCTACCTATTCCACCAGATTGTCAGTCTTCCAAAGGAGCTCCGCACTGTCCTGCATACAATTCTTCCAAGATTTGCGTTGTAGAAACATAGGACAAACAGTGAGCCATTCAGCCCCTCAAGCCTGTTCCACCATTCAATGAGGTCATGGCTGATCTGTGGCCAAGCTCTGTATTGAACTTTACCTCTGGCCCATATCCCTTAATACCTTTGCTTAACAAAAATTTATCTATCTCAGATTTAACATTAACAACTGATCCAGCATCCACTGCAGTTTGCAGAAGAGATTTCCAAACATCTACCACCCTTTGTGTATAGAAGTGCTTCCTAACATCTCTCCTGAATGGTCTGGCCCTAACTCTCAGGCTATGCCCTGTAGTTCTAGAATCCCCAATCTGTGGAAATAGTTTATCTTTATCTACGCAGTCTTTCCCTGTTAATATCTTGAAGACTTTGACCAGATCATCCCTTAACCTTCCAAGTGCTAAAGAAAACAGGCCTAACTTGTATACCTCTCCTCATAACTTCACACCTGAAATCCAGGTATCATCCTTGTCAACTCGAAGACCAATCTATCCTTCCCAAATGGTGATGTGCAGATCAGTCCACAGTACTTCAAGTGGGGTCTAACCAGGGTTTTGTATAACTGCAGCATAACGTTTGCATCCTTGTACTCCAGTCCTCTGGATATAAAGGCCAGCATTCCACTAGCTTTCTCGACTACTTTCTGCATCTTTTCATGACATGTTAAAGATCTGTGTGTAAAAATCAAGTCTGTTTGGACATCCACTGTATTTAACTTCATACCATCTACAAAGTATCATGAACAATCCTTTTTCTTGTCCAAAATGGAGAACTTCACACTTGCTTATGTTGAATTCAATCTGCCACAGTATTGCCCATTCACCTTGTGTGTCAATATCCCTTTGTAATTCTATGCTATAATCTACATTGTCTACAATGCTGCCAAACTTTGTGCCATCAGCAAACTCGGATGTCTGACTTTCTATGTAATTATCCAAGTCGTTAATAAATAATGTGAATAATTAAGGCCCTAACACGATCCATTGGGGAGGTCGCTGGTCACATTCTGCCAATTTGAGGACACATCCATTATCTTTCTTTTCTGTCACCTGCTCCTCGACAAATTTCCCAGCCATGTTGGTAATTTGCCCTCAATGGGCATGTAGCTTAGTTGACAGTCTCTTATGTGGGACTTTATCAATGCTTTCTGGGAGTCCATATGAACAACAAGCATAGATATTCTTCTGTCCACTACCTTAGTCACCTCTTCAAAAGACATAAGGGAGGAGCTGGCCAGAGTTCATTGGAAGGGAAGCCGAGCAGGGAAGACAGTGGAGCAGCAACGGAAGGAGTTTCTGTCGGTAATTCAGGAGGCACAGCAGAGATTCATTCCAATGAAGAAGAAAAATGCTAAAGGGAGGATAAGCCAATCTTGGCTGACAAGGGAAGTCAGGGACAGCATAAAAGCAAAAGAAAAAAACATATAATGTGATGAAGATTAGTGGGAAGCCTTTAAAAACCAGCAGAGGGAAAGAGGCAAAAGACAGGAAATTATCAGCCAGTTAGCCTAACCTTGGTCGTTGGTAAGATTTTAGAGTCCATTATTAAGGATGACATTGATGAGTACTTGGAAGTGCATGGTGAAATAGGGCTGAGTCAGCAATGGCTTCAGCAAAGGGAGGTTAAGCCTGATAAATCTGTTAGAATTCTTTGAGGAGGTAACATGCAAGTTAGACAAAAGAAAGCCAGTGGATATGATCTTTTTGGATATCTAGAAGACCGATGACAAGGTGCTGCCGCACAGGAGGCTGCTAAATAAAATAAGAGCCCATCGTGTTTGGGGCAGGGTGCTGATATGGATAGATGATTGGCTGAGTGGCAGAAAGCAGAGAATAGGGATAAAATGGTCTTTTTCAGGATGCCAACCTGTGACCGATGGCGTTCTGCAGGAGTCAGTGTTGGGACCACAACCTTTCACGATAGGTATTAACAATCTGGATGAAGGAATTGACAGTTTTATTGCCAGGTTTACAGATGACACAGAAAGGTGGAGGAGCAGGTAGTGTTGAGGAAGTGGGGAGTCTGCCAAAGGACTTGTAGAGGCTGGGAGAGTGTGCTGAAAAGTGGCAGGTAGAGTACAATGTGGGAAAATGTGAGGTTATGCACATTGGTAGGAAATATAGAGGTATAGACCATTTTCTAAATGGGGAAAGGCTTCGTAAATCTGAATCACAGAGGAATTTGGGAATCCTAGTTCAGGATTCTTTTAAAGTTAACATACAAGTTCAGTTGGTAGTTAAGAAGGCAAATGCAACGTTAGCATTCATTTCGAACAGGTTCTAATACAAGAGCAGAGATGTACTGCTGAGGCTCTGGTCAGATCGCATTTGGAATATTGTGAGTAACTTTGGGCCCTGTATCTAAGGAAGAATGTGCTGGCATTGGAGGAGATTGACAAGAATGAATCCTGGGAATGAACGACTTGATGTATGAGGAGTGGTTGGGGACTCTGGGTCTGTACTCGATGGAATTTAGAAGGATGACAGAGGAATCTCATTTGAATGAACAGCATACTGAGAGGCCTGGATAGAGTGGACATGGTGAAGATGCGTCCACTAGTAGAAGAGACTAGGGCCTGAAGGCACAACATCAGAATAAAGGAACGACTCTTTAGAATTGAGATGAGGAGGAATTTCTTCAAGCAGAGGGAGGTGAATCTGTGGAACTCATTGGCAAAAGGTTGCGGAGGCCAAGTCATTGACTTTGTTGAAGATAAATAGGTTCTTGATTAGCAATGGGATCAAGGGTTACAGGGAGGAGGCAGGAGAATGGGGTTGAGAAACATATGTCATGATTGAAAGGTGGAGGAAACTTGATGGTCCAAATGGCCTAATTCTGCTCCTTAATCTTATTGGTTGTAGTTTTCCTCACTCAGCCTCCTTAAAAAGCAGACTGATTTGCAATGTTCTAATCCAGAGGGATGACTCCTGTATCTTGGGAACTCGGACAGATTGTAGTTTGGGAAACTACTATGTGCTCGCCTACATCCTTTAACACCCTGGGATGGAAACCGGCGGGTCCTGGGGATTTGTCGCTCCTCAATTCAGTTTCATACTTAATTTCTGATTGTTGTTTCATCAAAGACCTGAACAATATCGAAACTTCTCATCTCAAAAACAAAACTCACC